GACAACTGAAGATGAAAAGCTACTGTTCTCACACTTAAGTAATTTGTGCTGTGCACCAACAAGAACCTGCTTTAAGTTTCCATGCCAATTTACAACCCCATACTGTACCCCAGGCTGCTGAAAATACCACCAGGACAGGGCTGTCTAAAGACACATTTGGTGGAATAGAACTTAAATTACATAAGAAATAATACCAAGAATCAACAAATCACTCATAAAGATAAACTCATTAGAATTACAGCAGACTTTTCAACACAAACCTTAAAGGCCAGGTGAGCTTGGATTGAAGTGCTTCAAGCCCTAAGAGATAACAACTTTCAGCCCAGACTTATATATCCTACAAAACTTTCTTTCATAATTGATAGAGAAATAAAGTATTTCCATGACAAAGAACACCTGAAGAAATTGATGACCACCAAACCATCACTACAAAAAATTATCAAGGATATCCTAGAAAGAGACATGAAACTAATAGGTCCCAAATTCTAATAGACTGAATACACTAGGCAGCACTTAAGCAAAAAAAGAGGAAAAAACACACAAAAAGGAAATCAGAAATAATGCAACAACAAGAATAGCTCAATCTTTCAGTAATAATCCTCAATCAAGAGACACAGATTGACAGAATGGATCAAGAAACAAACCCCAATAATATGCAGTATACAAGAAACATTTAATCCAAAAAGAAAATCACAGATCAAATATCAAAGGTGTGAAACAATATTCTATACAACGGGAACCTGGGAAAGAAAAGCAATAGCTATCGTACTTTCAGGCAAAGTGGACTTCAAGCCAAACTGATTAGAAAAGGCAAATAAGGGCACTATGTATTGGTTAAAGGAACAATTCAACAGGAAGAGATAGCAATAATAAACATATATGAACTAAACATTGGCAAGTCCAACTTAATGAAACACTACTGGACATAAAATAATCAAATAAACACAAATACAATTACAATGAGGGATCTCAATACCCTACTGACAAAAATGGATAGATCAACTAGACAAAGAAATATCAGAGTTGAACTAAACCTTTGAACAAATGGATGTAATAGATATCTTCAGAGTGTTCCACTCAACAATAGAATACACATTCTTTCCAGCAGCATGTAAGACTTTCTTGAAAACAGACCACATATCAGCCTATAAGGCACACTTAAGTAAAAGCAAAAGAATCAAAATTATATCATGCATATTATCTGATCATGATCAATGAAACCAGAAATCAATTGCAAAAGAAACCACAGAAATTATGCACACATGGAAATTAAACAGTATCCTCTTGAATAATCAATGGGTCATAGAAGAAATTACATACTTCTAGAATCAAAGAACAACATGCCAGAACCTATGGGACACAATGAAAGCAGTCCTAAGAAAATGTTTATAGCTGTGAATGCCCACATCAGAAAAGCAGAGTAAGCCCAACTAAATAACCTAATGATGCACCTCAAGGTCCTACAAAAACAAGAATAATCCAAACCCAAAGCTAGTAGAAGAAAGGAAATTATAAATATCAAGAAGAAATTAATGAAACTGAAATAAACAATATCAACAACAAAAATCCTATGTAGAATCAGTGAATCAAAGAGCTGTTTCTCTAAAAGAATAAGCAAAAGAGAAAAACCCATAGCCAATTTTACCAAAAAGAAAAAAACTCAAATCAGTGTAATTAGATATGAAAAAGGCAAAAATCACAACAGACTCTGCCAAAATCCAGAAGATTATTAATAACTACTTGAGAACTTGTACCATAGTAAAATGGAGAATTCAGAAGAAATGGACAGATTTCTAGATATAGATAACTACTGACACAGGAAAATAAAAACTCCCAACTTGAATGATATATGGGATGAGTTCATGTTCTCTAAAATCAAAGAATGAATTTTAGGAACAATGGAGGTTAAAAGCAGAATATATTTATTGAGGGAAAGAAAGCTTCTATCCAAGAGAGGGACAGAAGAGGGGCCTGAGTGGGTTACCCAAGACTCTGCCTTTTCTAGGGACTTTTACAGAGCAAAACCACGAAGTGAGGTGGGTCCAAGGTAGGGGAAAACGGACAAAGCTATGGTCAGCCAATAAGAATTGTTCAGGTAGAAATGATTAAATTGGGATCAAATGGGGAAGCGAGTCACATAGCAAGCAGGCATGAATACAGAACAGGGGCTTTTCCTGTAAGGGGTTGGGTCAGGGACTCTTAATGTCAATCCCAGATGTCCATCCCTTGGGAGGTAGGAGGGTGTGTTTGTTTGGTCCTTTGTGTTGAAGTCTGGCCCACAAGTATCTTATCTTGTCTTTCATGTTGGCTCCTTTGAGGGCCTGGCCCCGTCTGACTGCCTATAATATTTCTACCTAACTCAGCTGCCTATAATACTACCACTACTGAACCAAGAAGCTATAAAAACATGAAATAATCCAATATCAGGCAATGAGATTAGAAGAAGTAATATTTTTTAAAAAAAAACCCTACCACCTAAGAAAAGCTCAGATCCTGATGGATTTACTCTCAAATTTTATAAGAACTTTAGAAAAGATCTAATGACAATACTCTTCAAACTCTTCAATGAAATAAAAAAAGAAGTACTCCCAAAGTCATTTTTGGAAGCACATGAAGTCCAAAAGGAAATTCACAGATTAAATATTAAAGGTTGAAAACAGTATTACATACAACAGGGAACCTGGAATAGAACTTAAATTACATAAGAAATAATACCAAGAATCAACAAATGGGTTTCATATCAAATTAAAAAGCCTCTGGTCAGTAAAGGAAACCATCAAAAGAGTGAAGAAACAACCTGAAGAACAGGAAAAAAATTTTTTTTGGCCAGCTATTCCTCAGAAAGAGGATTAATATCTAAAATATGCAAAGAACTTTAAAAAAAATTAGACACCCAAAATAAATTTAAAAATAGGTACCTCAAATGAACAGATACTTCTCAGGAGAAAAAATAAAAATGGCCAACAAATTCATGAAAAAAATGTTCAACATATCTGGCCATTAGAGAAATGCAAATTGAAAAAACACTGAGATTCTACCTTACTCCAGAAAGAATGGCCATCATCAAAAAAATCAAATAATAACAAATGCTGTCTAGGTTGTGGGGGTAAAAGGAGTCTTTTGCATCGTTGGTGGGAATGTAAACTAGTACAACTGTTGTAGTCAGGGTTTGCAAGGGAATAGATTTAATGCAGGACATATAATTTATAGGATTATTTCATAATATTCACCCAAAAGTCAATGCAGAAGAGTTCAGGGGATCTGTCCATGTACTAGAGACCCAGTGAATCTACCTGAGGGCCTGGATCACACAGCAGTGTCCTCCACGAATCCAGCTGGAGGTCAAAAGCCCACAACAGTGTCTCATACAAGTCTATACGTATCAAGGGTCTGCACTGGGAAGGCTCAAAGGTCAGTGGTGGAAGTTAGAAAGTCTATGCCAGTGGGATGAAGGCTCTTTGCCAGCAGGCTGAGGGGTCTGCACTGGAGCCAGGAAGTGATGCTCAAGGGAAGGACCAGAGCTCTCCTGAGGAGAACTGCAGCAAAGATGCAAGCTTCTTGGAGGATGAGAACAGCTGAGTTCATATCAGGAAAACCAGAGTGACAAGGTTCTCCAGCAGCACGCCATCTTCCCCTCCAGGACTCCTTTTATGCTGTTGGCAACAGTCCTCAGGTGGGCCTTCCACACCCAGCACCACGCTCACTCAGTTCAGCTGGGTGTTACAAGGTGACCATTAGTCAATTCACCACTGCAGCCATTAAGGAAATCAGTATGGAGATTCCTTAAAAAACTAAAACAGGAAATTCCATTTGACCCAGCTATTTCCCTAAGACATGATATTCCAGTGGTACCATGTTTACAGCAGCACAATTCTCAACAGGTAAATCTTGCAAGTAGCCCCTAGGTTGATCAACAGATGAATGCATAAAGAAAAGGTGATATTCATACACAATGGAATAGTACTCTGACATAAAGAGGATAAATTTGAGTCATTTGTAGGAAAATTGTTACAACTTGAGACCATAATAGGAAGTGAAATAAATCAGACACACAAGCTTAAATATCACATGGTTTCTCTGATATAAGAAATCTAAAAATAAAGAAAGCAAAATAAAAGATAAACAACAGGAAATAGTGAGGTAGAGTAATAAGGGTACAAAAAGGGAACAATATTAAAAATAAAACATGTAACATAAACACAGCTATGGTATGATTTTTTTAAAAACCCTGAGGTAACAGCATGAATAAGTTTATTCAAGACAAGAATACTTACTGGTCACCATTTGTATTCGAGACTACTTTAGGGGGTCATGGTCAGGACAGTGAAATACTATGCAGCTGTTAGAAAGAACAGTAAACAAAAGTACAGGCTTGGGGTGGAGACCTAAGAGGACTGAGGCAGGGGACCAGTGTTCGTCTTCCCCACCTCCACCCCCATTCTTCCTACCTGTCCAGTATGACAAACTACCTTCAACTACCATGGCAACCATCACTGCCTCCCCACAGATACCCTTTCCTCTTCTGCATTTACTTTGCCCCTCCCGCTTACTTCTGCAAGCTGCAGCGGTGGCGGCAAGTATTTGCTTACCCGTGTGTACCTAACCCGTGGCTAGCACAGAGTGGGCGTGGAAACCATCGCGCCTGCACAGCACTCCTTTCCCCGGGCTGCACCCCGCCTGCAAACCCCGGCGCGACCCTCGCGTTCCCCGGGCTGAGTGGGCGAGGGAGGACGCGGCCCGCAGGCCCTGCCCCTCGCGTCCGCGCCGTCGCGGCGCCTCCGCCGCACCCACTTCCTCTCC